TACCGATCTTTCTGATCGACAAGCTCAGTGTCTTAGCCACTGAGCCACTGTGTCCCTTTATGACCATAACTGACCCCCAAATTTCTGTTGCTAATGGAGACCGTTGTTAAGGGAGCTTTGCCCCATTTTACGACCTTTCTTGCCACAGTTGATAAGTGAATCAGTGCAATTGTCAGTAGCATGGCTGTTAAATTAATCTGGCTTCCCCTATTGTCTTTGCTTGTCTGAAGGTTGCAAAAGAGGATCATGTGACCCCAAGACCTTGCAACCGTCATAAATATGAACCTGTTGGCAAGCATCTGTAACCAAGAGGATGTAACCATGGTCGTAAGTGGGGAAAAACCATCATAAGTCCCTTCATTCAGTGCCGTTTTTAACTTCAAACCGTCACTAAACAAATGGTTATAAGTCAAGGACTACAAACAAACTACACCACAAAGACGAAACCATCCTTCCAATATCATTTTTTTTAAAAAAATACAATATACCATCCCCAGAAGCATAAAAAGCACCAGAAACGTTCCCTCACAACGATTCTTTGCGATCGGAAAGCTGCGCTAAGCGTTGGCACTGATCTTCCAGAATGCCCCGGAAGACTTCATAGCGGTGGTTGAGGTCCTTCCGGCTGTGGATGTGGTGTGTGGTGCCCAGAGCCCCGTGAGAGGACGGAGCTCCGTAGAACACCCGCTGGATGCGGGAGTGCACCAGCGCCATGGCACACATCGTGCATGGTTCCCGCGTTAAGTACATGTCGTAGCCGGTGCAAATGTACGGAAGGCCGTCCTCAAGAGGCGGCGGCGGCTGGGAAGTGTTGTCCGCAGGAAGAAACGTGCAAGCGGGATAATCTCGGAAGCTGTAAGCTCCCCCTCCGTGGCTGTGGGCCACCAAGTCAACGCAGACCATGGCAGCGTGGAGAAGCGGGTTGGAGCCCTCTCTACAGTCATGACCCACAGCCAGGACTCGGCCAGTGGCCGGGTCCACCACCGTAGCTCCTACAGGCACCATACCCTGCCTGGCTCCCCGCTGGGCCGCTTGGATGGCCAACTCCATGTAACCCTGCATGCGCTCTTTTTCCAGTGGGGAGAACAGGCAGCCTTTCAGCGCTTGGCTGATCCGTTTGTTCTCGTGGAAGGAGACGGGCCAGTGCGATGCCGCTTCCTCATACTGGGGACGCGTCAAAGGCGTGCAAGCCGGCACATGGACCACGAAAGGTTTCCCCAAGCCGCTGAGATCTACTTCGCCGCTGGGAAAGAGTTCAGCGAGAGTCCGCAAGCCGGCTTGCTCTCCGTTGAGGCCTGCAAGGCACAAGATCATCTCCAGCGGGTGGGGACTGCTTGCCGATAGGCAGGCCCGGATACGTTTCAAATGAGGGTAGTCACTCAACGGGTAGACAGCTGAGACCTCTTTCATCAGGCGACAGGTCTCTTTCTTATCCAGCACAGGGGCAGCGTAGACGGGCATGAGCCGGACCTCCCGAGATTCCTGCTCCGAAAGTACAGGCCGCACTTCCCAAGCACAGGCGCCATCGGGCTCCGTTGTCTTCCGTCGCTTGGAATCGGGCTCCATCAGGCATTCTTGTCACATTCTCTGGGGATGGAAGAGATTTACAGATTAACGGAGTTGGAAGGGTCCTTGTAGTGACGGATCCAACCCCCCGCCCTCCGCCCAAGCAGGAGACCCTACACCACTGATGGCTAATGTTTTTGTTGTTGTGTGCCGAAAGTGCACACATGTNATCGCGGTTTTAGCGCCGCAGTGTTGTCAGCGCGCTTATGACGTTCGCGCTTTTGACGGGTCACGTCTCTCAGCTACTTCCTGCCTTGTGATTGCTGTCTCCAGGCTAGCTCTCCCCTCCTATTATCGTGGAAGGCGTCTCACAAAAACCACTGGGCGGCCGTTGGAAACTGCTGCACGGTGTTTTGTTGCCATGTGCGCAGAGGGAACAGTGGTCATAAGTGTGAAAAATGGCCATGAGTCACTTTTTTCAGTGCCATTGTTACTTTGAAGATTCACTAAATGAACTGTTGTAAGTCGAGGACTACCTGTACTGCATTTATTGTATTTCCACAGTTCTCCTACCCATAGCTTTCCAAGTATTATTGTTCCTATACAGAGAATAATTCCACACACAAAGTGAGCACCTAAATAGACTCCCTGGCATAGTGGGTCAATTTTCCAATACTTTTAGAAAAACCTGTTCTTTATACATTTATATTGAAGAATCTTGATGAAGCTAGATTTGGATTAGAAGCCATTTATTCTCATTCAGTTGCAAGCATACATATTAAAAGAGATTAGGCTATGGAAAAAGTATATAAATGACGGATGGTATGATTGAAAGTGAGAATAAAGGCCTACTATTCATTAGATGATGAGAACTTAGTCTTTATAAAGTTTAATTTATGGCTCATCTCTGTTTTCCATTCCATGAGAAAATGATCTCAACTGAGCAGTCACTACATGTAACCAGAATTTACTGTCAACAAGCTGGTTGACAGAAAACACCCATTTAGCAGAAAGCCTGTAAGTCAATTTTATTTTTTTTTGTCATTTTTTCTTTCCTGGACAAGTGAGCATCCTTCCGAAAAAAGTGCGGCCTTGTGCATTTTTATTTTCCAAGAACCGCTGTGCCCCAGATGCATTCTTGTAAAACAAGATGCAGCTAGAAGCTCACAATTATTTCCCATTTAAAAAGTAATCTGGTTTAAGTCAGTTGGGCAAAGATTTTGGTGTCGTCTGCAGGTACAGGTAATCCTTGACTTACAACTATTCATTTAGTGACCTTTCAAAGTTATAACAGCACTGAAAAAAGTGATTTATGACCATTTTGTTGTGGCCTGCCAGCGGCCAGCAGAGCTGTCAGCAGATTCGGACAGTGAGGAGGTTAGGGAGGAAAATGGGCCAGTCCTGGAGTCTGGGGAAGGCTCTGATGAGGACTCTGTGTCGGAGGCAGAGATGGGGCCAGAGCTGTCTGACAGTTATCAGTTGCCTTTGGAGTCAGACATCAGTGAGGCTGACGAACAGCTGGAGCCTGTTCCCAGTGTGTGCATGTGCAGAGTTGCCAGACGAAGAGAACAGCTGAGGAACAAGAGCCGACTTGGGAGTAAGGCCACATGTGGACGGTGAATGGCCCCTCCCATAGGGAATAAAAGAGGAGCAAAAGAGGAGGGGTGTTTGCAGGAGAAAATTAGTTTATTCCTGCATTCTTGCCAAGTATTGCAGCATCTGAAAGATATCGGCCTGGCCCCTCTCCAAGCCTGATAAAGGTTGGTAGTTGTGAACTGTCTTCAAAGACAGTTGAGCCAAGGTGGCGCAGTGGTTAAATGCAGCCAAGGTGGTGCAGTGGTTAAATGCAGCC